AATGTTTGATTTTTATTTTTTTTGGAGTTAAACAAGATGTTTGAAGTATTTATTAACATAACAACACATATTGTTAAATTATGAAAGTGTTTTGATTTTTAAAATTATTTATTCTATTACTTTAATTTTATTTCTATTACCATTATGAATTCAGGAATTATGTATACTGTTATTGGGCCATGAATGTCATTATTGTATCAAAACTATAATAATAATTACATTAATGTAATTATTGTCATAAAAAACACTTATTATATATACGTAAATATATTGCATGATACAAAAAAAGAAAATTATATACGTAATTATATTTTGTATATGATACATGAAATATCAAAATATATAATATCACAAACAGTGATACTAGTTATTACACTAGATACACGCCGGTTTTTTTTAAAAAAAAATTAATATCTTATGTACAAATAAGATATATTCAGTACTATGATTTATATATATTACGAACAATTATTTGTCCTTCAAAATATGAAATTTTTTTAAGTATCTACACACATGATACTATATTACTAAATTAAATTAAATTAGAACTGACAATAATTTGGGTGAAATATCCGCAATTAATATTGATTAAAGTAAGTTTGAACAAAGATTATAAAATAAAGTATTTGATATATAAATATAATATAAAATTTAAATAGTGTTTAACAAAAAAAAAGAATTAGTCTGCCAAAAAAAAGGGAAGATCACTAATGAAAAATTATAATTTAATTTAGAGTTTTATATTGGATAAAACTGATCTTGAAACACACAAGTTAATGCTTTTTTTTATGGGATTAATAACTGTAGCATATTAAAAGTAGGAATTAATTCAAATTTCAGTTTTTAATCCCCCAAATCACTCAACAAACGGATAAAATAGCATAATATAGAATGTATCCAACTGTTTTATTGTGTATCAGAAACTTCTTAAAAATAAGGGATTTTTTGTAAATTGAAAAAAAGTAGGGATAGAAGGTAATTTATGTTTTACACTATGTGATTTACATAATTTTTACTTTATTTTATGTAAGTTGCCATTTTTAAAAAGATATCTACCCTTATTGCCAAGGCTATAAGTCTATAAATATAGTGAATAACTGGTAGTCAAGTGGTGGTCATTCACTGGATAAGAGGTGATGTTTCGAATACAGACCTCACTGTCCGCTGGAAAAAAATTCTGACTTTCAGCATGTTTTATTTATTTTTAAGGGTATTTTAGTCCTAAAAATCTTTAGGAAGTAATATCAATTATCTTAAACGTGTAGAAAAATCAATTTTCATAATCAAACCCTCTCTTTCACTTCTACATTTCTACGCTCAAGAACTTCAAGAAATGCCAAGGTTAGAGTTCATCATCCAAGATTTTCCTTTAAGTTTCTTCTAGAATATTGTTCTTCCAATTAAGAAGGCTATCAAAGTGTTGGACCTCTTCGTCCTCATACCCTACATCTCAATTCAGTCAGAAATCATTACGTCTAATGGATCCATTCATACTTTTGATATTGAATTCAATTCTTTAACTGTTGAGGTTTTGATTCTTCTACTTTGTGAATCTTATTGGGTTGTTTAGGCTTAGTATCATATGAACCCTATTGATTTAATACAGTTATGTTTCAAAAGGAATTGTATGAAAGTTCTCATGTATTGATTTTTGGTTTGAGAAACAAGTAGAATTCAGGAGAAATTTTCCAATTCTAAACTAATTTAGGGCCGTAGTTTCAACTTGAAAATTTGCCGGGGACAATGGGGAGGGCTTGAGGTAGCGCGCCAACAGTGCGCCCAGACCTAGCCCAGTACTCCAAGCCCTGGGGTGGCGCGCCAATAGTGCGCCCTAAGTTAGCTTTTGAAGTTTGGGGCCTGGCGCCCCGTGCTATCAGTGAGTCGGGGGTCTCCTAGGCCGATCCCTTCTTTGTTTCACTCGGACGTGTTCCTTTAAGTTGTGGCTACGCCCCCCTTCTCTATAGAAGTTCCTATAGGCTTCATCTATCTTTGAAACTTTCTGCATAACCTAATCACAGAGTTTAAGAAGAAAATTCAAGAGATTTTATGGAGTTATTGTCGAGAACCCTTTTCAACCAATAATGATCTTAAACAAATATTTCGAAAAGTAGAGATAAGTTTTGAGAAGAGTTCCATACATGATTGAGAAAAAATATAAGGGAACTAAGTATTTCCAAATGTAACATTTTTTACATTGAGAAAGAGGAACTTTGATTTCTAAAAAGAGTTTGAGTTCAGAATATTTCAATGCAGATGCTTTTTTTTTTAATATGATACATTGACCAAATTATCTCAAATTATAGAAAGAGTATGTTTATGCATTTGAAAATGAACATATATATTATAGGGAGTAGTATTGAGCACTGATATGAGAATGAGTTCAGAAAACTCAAAATCCTCACAAACCATGTCTTGCCAACATGGGTAAAGCCTAAAGGTTCATACATTTTAGATGAATTTGTATTGCTTGGTGGATTCACTTATTAATGAGGTTGTACACCCTGACACTATATAGGACAATTCTGACAACGCGAGCGATACAATGTATCATTATATAGCTCATAGTGATGATTGTCAGTTACAAAATCTCCCAAATAAAGTTAAAAATGTATTTTTATTTTATCACTTAATATGTTAAGTACAAAAGATGAGTAAGTATTTTTGTAAAGTTTTAATGATCTCACTCATTTATTTTTTTACATTTAGTTGAGTATATCTATATCTATTGCGGTCCTTTCATTTAGTTATTTTTTATTCACCTATATTACATACTCGTACATTCAATTTATTGATGTCATTCGACATGCATCCTATTGTGATGCAGATACAAGCTTCAGGATCATCAACAGGCTTTCGTTGAGATCACTTTGCACTTCAGATATCTTGATAAACCTCCTTGCATTCCAGGGGACTTCACATTTATTTTGTGGTCAGGTGTCTTGAGTTATCGTGGGTCTTGTCTTGAAATTCATCTTGAGTAATAGAGACTTCATAGATAGTTAGAGCTGTTGAGTTTCTCATTATGTTCCTTTCTATTTTGAGATCTTGAAAATTATTACTTATACGGTTATACCTTATCAAGTATTTTCAGACATTTAATTGAGTTGATTTTAATTATGCATTTAAAGTTTTCTATCTTCTTGAGTAGATCTTATGCTAAGTAGTGAGCCATATCAAGAATTTGCTTGGGGACCAACAACGATTCTCAAGTGTCAATCACATTCAGAGTGTATGTGTTATTCAATCTGTGTTATCAAAACTAGAAATTACTGATTGTAATAAATTGTTCCGGAACCTGAAGTAATTGAAATTTATAGAATCAGTAAGCAAGATGAAGAGAAATTTATTTCACAAAATACTTAAAAAGAACGTATCAGAATCTGTAACAATCGGTTAGTTTAGAAGAAGATCAAGTCCACTGAACTCACAGTGTCCCCTTAAGGAAATTATTCCCCTCTAGCATCCGAGGTTTGATTTGAAATATAACCTCCTAGGGTAAAATGATCTTAATCAGAGTATGAATACCAAAAACTCTACTGTCAGCGAATCAATCCACAACAGTAAAGTACACGAATAAAATGTGTTTAGAAGAAGAAGGGAGATCAGAAATTTTGTTGAAAAATATTCTGAAGACTGAGTGGTATTTATAGGCAAGAAGAATATGTTTTGAAAGGTTGTAACCCTTTCAGAATTGACACGACCATAATGAAAGTTTGCAACCTTTCTAATGGTATTGATTGTTCCTGAAAGTTGCAACCTTTCAGAACAGTCATGGCGGAAATTTTAAATAAAATGAAAAAATAAAATGGGTCACGCGTGCGGATCCGAGTCAGATCGGGTTAACTATAAGTTGAAAACATTTCGGTTAACTTCTGTTATCAACTAATTAATTGAAAATATTTTTTTTGGTCATTTAATTATAGCCGAAGCCGAAGTGAGCAACGACGACGACGACGCGAGGGAGGTCCCTCTTTCCAACCTTTTTAACAATTAATAGGAGTGTTTATGTATTTAAACTCTCCTATTTTCCTTTCCATTACTGATGAGGGACAATTGCCTTTTCAGCATAACAAGACTTTTCAAGTTCCCAACTGTTCAAGTTCTCAACTTTTCAAATTCCTCTCTTTCCCTTTATTTTCCATCAATTCTTGCTACATACCCAAGAGTATGCTCGGATCGCGACAATTATTGTAGCATTATGACTACTCCAAGTCATAAATGCTTGTAAAAGGACATTGATAATAATGTAAAAATACACACAAAGAGAATAAGCACTACTTCATATTTCTTATATCTCTCTTCTTCTACTACTTTTCTTTCTCTTTTCTTTGTTCTTGTCATATTATTCCATCTATTCTTCTCTTGGTTTGCTATTCAAGTTATAATATATTAACTTTATTTTATAACTCAATTAAGGCTATATAGTAGATTATCAATATAAATTGACCTAAAAGGTATCTAAAATTTGGCCTTACTTAAGATCATAATTTCAAGGAAATCTAAAGCTATTTGGCTGGTCAATATATGGCTGAAATTTGACCATGTCAAGACCACAACGTCAATAAAAACTATCCAAAATTTGACCTTTCTAAAACAACTTCAATAATAAGTGTGATGTTTGGCTTTGACAAGAACACACTTCAAATAAAGATTGTCCAAAATTTTCTAAATTTCAGATGTAAATTTTTGTGACTTTAGTATTCTGTATTTGAAGTGGTCCCAAAGGGTGTATTCCAAAATTACAATTAACTCTCTCCACAACTGGTAAAATAATAATGATCTTAAAAAAATTTGATATTTATGCTCTTCTATTGAAAATAAATGTTTTTACATGAATATTCTTTATTTTGAAATGATCTTTAATTTTTGTCTTATTATTCACTTATTCAGTGAATAAAAGTTCACTTTGATAAAATATTTTTAATTATGACATAATTTCACAAGACATATGTGTATAAAAATGTTTGCCTTGTCTAACATTAACTTTAGAATTTTTTTTACCTATTTAAGAAAAACTTAATTGAATAAGTTATATCTCATAAAGTATAACTTTGTTAATTCTATAATGAACTTATGAAACTTATGCCTATATCAATATAAGCTCATTAGGAATTAAATTATGCTACTATATGAACCGAATAAGATAAACTTATGCTTCAATCTTCGTAAAAGACATAGTTTTTAGGTTGAATTTGAACCTATGCATCTAATGTCATAAATTGGATATAAATTATGAAGCATAATTTCTTATGTTTTATAAAACCTATTCTGTGTTATATTTATTTCGCCCCGCAGATTTTTTCTTTTTTCTTATAAATAAATTTTTTACCACTTCAAAATACTTGGAACAAAATTAAAGAGCATGAATTTAAGGAAAAAAAAGGTACTAAGAATGACCCAAAATTCCCATATTGAATAAAATTCTGAAAATATCAAAAGAACCCAAGATTTTGGTTTACCTTATATATACCCTCTCATTCTCTCAGTGTAGAACAATTTTTGAAAACCCCCAAATCTTCTCTTATCTTCTCTCAAAGTTGCTCTACAATGCTAAATCCGTAAAAAGTCTCCAGCTTCAGTATCAAAACCAGATATATTGTTAATCTTCAGTGCTGGGTTCAGGTTCTTTCCAAGTTTCATGGAACCGCTCATGTGTATATTGTAGAAAAATGGCATCTTTACCTCTTGTTTCAAATGACAGATTATTAGTTACTCACAAGAAATGGAAACCCCATACTGGAAATTCTGAATCATTAAGAAGTTTCAAGAATCAATATTGCTCATTACCCAGTTCTTGTTTTACCTCAAGATTTTGTATATCTCAGTCTAGGTACAAGAAATGGATGCTTCATTTTGGGAATTCTGACCCTTTTAGGAGATTAAAGAATCAAACTTGCTCATTATCCAATTCTTGTTTTACCTCAAGTTCTGTTCCTTTATTGGGATTGAATTATAGGTTTTGTAAATCTCAAAGTAGATTACTGCATTGTAGTACTGGGGTTAGGTCAATGGTAAATGAGAAGGGAGATATAGATACCCATTTGAACAAAACAGGAAGTAATAATATTCGTGGGAAGTTTTCGTTGAGATTGAGACCAAGGATAAGATTACTGTCAAGAAGGTTGAAAAGGGTATCTGTTATATGTATGTTAAATGATTTTGGGAAGTTTCTGAGGAAGAACTCAAGAAGAGTGGCACTGTCAACTTCAATTTCTGTGATATTGGGCTTGTGTTATTTGTTTCTAAGATTGACAGCAACTCCTCCTCCAAAGGTTGTTCCATATTCAGACTTGATTACCAGCCTTCAGGGAGGATCTGTGTCAAAGGTTCAATTTGAGGAAGGCACACGCCGTATTTACTACAATACGAACTTGTGGAGTCTTAAAAATGCTCAGACAGGGGAAGATAATTCCTTAGTTCCCGATGAAAGCACGACCATCACTGAGGAAAGCAAAGATATAGATAGCAACAAAGGTGGCAAGAATGTCTTCAGTAAAATATCAAAAGCCCAAGGTTCTACCCCCGTATGGCAGTTTAGTACAAGGAAGATCGATCATGATGAAGGATATCTTCTTAGTCTAATGAGGGAAAAGGGAACAGCGTATGGCTCAGCGCCACAATCAGCACTTATGTCAATTAGGAGCTTATTAATTACTATGTTATCCTTATGGATTCCTTTGACTCCTATAATGTGGCTTCTCTATCGTCAACTTTCTGCTGCCAATAGCCCTGCAAGAAAAAGAAAGCCAAGTAACCAGGTGGTTGGCTTTAATGATGTGGAGGGTGTGGATGCTGCAAAAGTTGAGCTTATGGAGGTAAGCAATCATTAAGATGAACTGCTTAGTAACTTTTAATTGGTATTTAAGTTTTGAAATTTCAGTGATAGTGAGTTTATCATCTGTCAACTGGTAGTAGTCATTTGTTGCTTCAGTTGATGAATTGTGATGCATTCAAACAGGAGATGCTTAGTTAATACTTTGATTAAACAATAACATAGCCAGTGTGATCCAAAATGTGGTGTTTGGGGAGGGTGGGGGTTGTATGCAGATCTTATCCCTACCTTTGGTGGGGTAGAAAGGTTGCTGCTGATAGACACTCGGCTCAAGAACATTTTTATAACAGATTTGAGAAATACAAGAGTAAAGAAGCTGTGGTGAAAATATTGTAGCAAAGAAAAATACTGACTACAAAAATAGTAAATATAACCAAAGTAGTAACAGATACAGCTGTAGTACTAAAATTGAAGAATCAGATAATGATAGAATGATAACAATAATAATACTGGTAAGGACAAGAGGGAGAAAATAAGGTGCTCCAAACATATAACCATGCCCTCCCACAGAAAAGAGAGAAATTGCTTGGCTACCTACTAACCTTCTACACTAATCCTTTATCTCCATGCTCTTCGACTCTGAAGAAAAAAACACCTATTTTTTTCATCCAGCAAGCAATTATTGTAGTTTTAGAAGAAAGGGAACCTAGACATTTGTGACTATTAGGCTTACGTTTGAAACATTTAGTTTCTGATGAAATGGCTCACCTCAAACAGAATCGGCTTCCCTCTTTGTTCAACTATAAATCCTTATGATCAAGTGACACATTTCCAGTAAGAGCGTTCTCAATTGAATTCGCGTATGAAATATTGGGTACATTCTTTAATGAAGAGTTGATTGGCTATGTATTGGATGTAATGTTGGTCCATCTTAACATGGTTATACAAGGGTTTTCAGTTCAATTTCATTTTGGGTAACTAACATATGGGCTTCGCCAGATTCTTTCGTTGACTGAATAAGAAATTTAAAAGATCTACTTTTAAGGCTTCCTACATGCTTAAACAACAACCTAGTTCTTTCAGACCATATTGTCCAAAAATACACAACGACAATGTTCTCCCGGCTGCTTATTGTCTGTAATAACCAACACATAATTGTTTTCTTCACTATCCTTTATAACACGAGTGATTTGTTAAATGGTGAGAATATAATGGTCCAGCAGACTTGAAGTGATATGTATCAGTTCTATACTTTTTGCACAAGTAGCACCAACTCATGGAAATCCTTCTCTCCTTCTCAAGTGTTCTGCTGCTGAGATATAATTACTCTCTTCAGTGTTTGTTTCCTACATTCTGCCATACCTTCCTCTTGGACTTAACTTTAGTGAAGCTTAAAACCATTTTGAACAAGAAACTCATAACAGTCAAGGAGAAAAATGTAAGCACGATGGATTTAAAACATTAACTAGAAATTGAAGTTCCTGGCTTAGGAAATAACAACAAACTTGATAGCTTTCACTTTTTTGCTGCTTTATATGATGAGAAAAGTATACCTGCATATATTCCTTAAAATTCAGCCATACTATGACTAAAAATTATTACAAGTTGCTAATTGTACCACATAGACAGACCTTCTCTCTCTTCCAACCTTTTCTTTGGTCTTGAATTGTAGTTTTCTAGTGATCATGTGATTAACTTTTAAGATGATTTAGATACAATAACCTGTTAGGTTTCCTTATAAAAAAGAAAGAAAGATAGTCTATTAGGCTAAAGACTGTTGAATTTATTTCCTAAGATAAGGTGTCCAATTATTCCTCTTTCCATGGAAGTCAAGGAGGGTTTTGTGTAGTTCATATGTACAAGTTAGTAAAGGATCTGTCTTATTTCACCTAGTGCTATTCCATGTTGGACTGACAATCCCTTTTCTTGTTTCTAGATAGTGTTGTGCCTGCGAGGAGCTATAAACTTCAGTAAGCTAGGGGCAAAGTTACCAAGAGGCGTACTGCTTGTAGGTCCACCAGGGACAGGAAAAACCTTACTAGCTCGTGCTGTGGCAGGAGAAGCTGGAGTACCCTTCTTTTCTGTTTCTGCTAGTGAATTTGTTGAAATGTTTGTTGGAAGAGGAGCTGCTCGCATTAGAGACCTTTTCAGTGTAGCAAGAAAGAATGCTCCTTCAATCATTTTCATTGATGAACTAGATGCTGTCGGAGGAAAGCGTGGCAGGAGTTTCAATGATGAGAGAGACCAAACCTTGAATCAGGTAAAATAGAGACTGAGAGCTCTGTCTCCTCTTTGATGGAGTCTCTTATTTATCTGAAGGCATCTTGATTGAGTCATAAGTTTGCTGATATCCTTCTGCTATTTGTGCATTCTTTACTTGTGGATGATTCGTATTAACATTTGAGAAACTTGATCCTCTGACCTCAGCTTATTATATATCTACTTCTGTGAAAAGGCTTATTTGGCAGCTGCCATATTTTTTCCATAATGTTCATATTACGTCTTTCATTGCCAGTTATGTGATATATATGTGCTGCTTTATGAGAACAGGTTATGTAAGTTCATATAGAGTCAGGAGCCAAAAGGGAAACAAAATTGACCAAAAATTTCAATAGGGCAAACAATTTATGGAGGAAACCAAAAGGGTAAAGGCGCAGGGGCCCAAGTGCCTTCCCTTTATGCCGTTAACGGTATTAACCGACAAAAAGAGGGAGACACATGACAGCATGTGCCTTGCATTCAAAAAAGAAAGGCGACTGACATTTTGCGCCTTACGGGTGCTATCAGACGCCTTTTTTTATCTAATTAATGAAATGTGAATCGTAATTTTATAGACAAACGGTTAACATACTATTTGACCGCGAACATTCTAAATTTAATTTAAAGTTATGTTTCAAATTTGAAAAACAACTTATAGTTTGTTTTCTTGACTTTAAAATAATAGCACATTCAATTCTAAATATTTTTTTAGATATTATAAAAAGTGTAACCAATTACTATAAAATTTTATGTTATTGGATCCGTGCACAACACGGGCTACCGTAACTAGTATAAATTGTAAGTATGAAAAAGTTAAGGCGCTGTAAAAATAAATTGGAAAGAATGTTAAGAACAAATACGACAAAGTTATTAAAATACCATATAATTTAAATAACAATCAAAACAAACATTACATTGTATTTAGACTAATAATCAGTACAACCATCCAAACAAGGTGTAAATCACAAGAATGGAAATGGAAATAATGTTAAAATAACTATAACTATAATTAAAAAGAATGTTGAAATAAATAAAGAATGAAAAAGGAATCTTAAAGCAACTCAAGAATGAGAAATAATTAGATGAAAAAGGGGTCTGACAGCACCTGTAAGGCGCAGAATATCAGGCACCTTTTTTTTTAATGCAAGGCAAAAGCCATCATGTGCCTTCCTCTTTTCATCGGTTGACGCCGTTAACGGCGTATAGGGGAAGGCACGTGGGCCCCTGTGCCTTTAGCGTTTTGGTTTCCTGAATAAATTGTTTGCCCTTTTTGGAACTTTTAGACAATTATGTTGCCCTTTTGGCTCCTTACTCAGTTGATACATATAGTTCTTAAAACTGAAAATTTCTTAGAGTTGCACTGCAAATTCTAATTCTGGATTTAATAAATGTTGTAGCCCTTGTTATTGCTATAAGAATTGTCAAGACCTAAACTGATTGCAAATGAATTGTCTTCTCTTCTAAAATGCTTCTATTTTACCTTGAAGTTGATGATCCTCCTATATCTTAATAGTGTCAATTTTGTACGTGGCTCAACGGCCTTAACCACTTCATTCATCATCCCAGCAATCTGTACAACATAGGATTCTCTCTTTACACCAAAAATATAAATGGAGCGTTTTTAACTTTCCTGCTGCTCTGATATAATATCCTAGTTCTTTCACCATAAATAATCCCAAAAAGACACAATGATGTTGTTCGCAAAGCTACTTCCCTTTTCCTACCTATCCTCTGTAGCCTCTAATATGCTATGCTTCATTGAAATGTAGACGGATACTAGGATTGATACAGGAAAATATGCAATACAATAGAGGTGGTCTATGTCCTAGCCTTACTCCTAGCACATATTGATATTACACCAGCTCACTACTAGGCACCCCTCTTCGTAAGTTTTCGCTATTAAAATCTCGTCCCTCATTCCAACACTACTTCGATGCTTTGACATTCTACATGTTCTTCCAGACCTCCCTCTTTAGTTTCTTGAATGGGTTTTTTCTGGATGTTCCAGAATTATGGCTTCCAACTTTATGTTATAGCCTTCATTCCCTTGATCCGACAGTCTTCATTCTCTCACTTGGCAAGCTGCTACTGTGAACAGCAAAGTCTAGGATGCTTCCCCTCCTTCAATTAATTCCATATAGAACTATTTTAGGGGGAAATGTTTTGCCGTGGTCCCAACTCTTCATGGAGTTCTAGTTCTGCATTTGGACTTTTAAGAGTTCATAAAAACCAGAAGTTTCTAAGAGTTTAGTTTCCATTTTGTCTTTTACTTGACTAATTACTCCTTGTGTTCCAAAAGTTGATCTACTTTAGGTTATGTGGGTCAAACTGATAATTCTTATTCCATTTAATTGAATTTTATGTTTTATGCATTAGCTTTTCTCATTTTGTACAGGATGAAATTGACTTACAAAGTGATTGTTAGCCACACAATACTAAATACTGTATTTTTTTTTGGGTATTCTTCAAATACAAGATCGGTCTAATTTTTGGGATAGAATCAGGTAGGACGTAGGAGTAAGGAGTTGAAACATTGTGCTCTAGAATTGATACTTATATATGTTGGTTAAAATATGCATTTTTTTGTCCTAATGGTTAAAATATGCATTTTTTTGTCCTAAAACCCCTTTTGCTATTTAGTTGCTCACAGAGATGGATGGCTTTGAATCGGACTTGAATATCATTGTAGTTGCTGCTACTAATAGACCAGAAGCTCTAGATCCAGCACTATGTCGGCCTGGACGTTTCTCCAGGAAAATCTTAGTGGGAGAACCTGATGAAGATGGAAGGAGAAAGATCCTGGCTGTACACTTGAGAGAAGTTCCCCTTGAGGAGGACCTGGAGCTTGTATGTAACCTGGTTGCATCTCTTACCCAGGGCCTTGTAGGTGCTGACCTTGCCAACATTGTCAATGAAGCTGCTTTGCTTGCTGCTCGGAGAGGTTAGATCAAGACATATTGCACTGATTACCACTGTTTTGTTGCACTCACACGTGCTTAGCCTCTTCATGGTTGATATTAGTAGCTAGCTATTTATTTGTGTTATTTGCGAATGTGTAAAATTGGTAGCTAGCTAATTATTTGTGTTACCGTAAAAATGTACCAAGTGTCCTTAAAAATAAAACAAAATAAAAAGAACTAAAAAAAGGAGGAGAAAGGGAATGAAAGTTAGTAGTGTTGTTTGATGAGTATTTGGTTCATCAACTTGCTTCACTGGGTAGCTACTTATGATTGGGAGAATGTGTTATATCACATGTCTTGAGGCAAATACCCATCATAAATAGAGTAGCATGTGATTTGCTTTTTGATGAAAACTTAGTTATGAGGGGCTTATATTTTGTCTGGATATGAGGAAAATGATATTTAAATGTTGGGATGATTATCCGGTGAATACTTACATGTCCTTTTATTCTATCAATTTTCTCTCACTTGCCCACCCCTGTATCAGAGCTCCTAATTAGCAGGTCTGTGATGTTTCTCTATTACAACCAAGCATTTCTTCCTATACAATTTTGCTATTGTTTCCATTTACTTAGTCCATGTGTAAAGCCTTTTTTCTCTCCTCTGCTTACCTATCTTTTTATGCTCTTTATGAGATAGTGAACTGTTTCCTTTTACCATGATAGAAATGACAAAATTGTCAGATGTTTATTGTATTTTGATTATCACAGTATGTTGTTGTTCTTGGTCCTTTCTTGTAGGATTTGTACTGCCCCCTTGTTAGTTGTTATGTTTTTCCCACTGTTTTCTTCTTCCTTGTACTTGTATCTGCTGCACTTGAGCCTAGTCTTTCGTAAACAGTGTCTTTACCTCCACGAGTTAGTGGTAAGGTTTGCGTACACTCTACCCTCTCCAGACTCCACTTGTGGGATTTCACTGTGTATGTTGTTGATAGAAAAAACAAAATCGCATCTGTTTTACAAAACCAAGATTGAATGGCTGAAGCCATCGACATAACAATATTACATTTATATGCATGTTTTACAGGGGCTGATTGTGTGTCAAGGGAAGATATAATGGAAGCCATAGAAAGAGCAAAATTTGGGATTAATGATAAGCAGTACACCCAAAGTGCAATAGGTAAGGAACTGGAGAAACTGTTCCCTTGGGTTCCTTCTTTCATTAGGAAGAACAGTACAAGAAGTGATGCATTTCAAGGACCTCTGGGGTATCAAGCTCTCAGTTGAGATATTAACCCTCTTGTTTGTATAATGTTTTTTTCTCCAAATGTTCAAGAATGTAATGCAATGGAAAAAATGGTTGTTGATTATCCATATTGCCAACCTCAACTTGTTTGGGGTTGACATATAGTATAAGAATGTAATGCGAAAACTGAGACATGGAATTCTTTAGGCAACTATTTGAACAAAGATTTTTATTTTTTTTGTATTAATGCCCCTTCTTCCCTTTTTTGGGATGTGTGGGGCTGAACATTGAACCCTCAACATGGTTATTATAGACATAATAAAAATAACTGGCTGATTTTTTGCCCAAGTTTAGACGGACAAAGTTACTCAATATTTGTGTTAACAGGAGTGAATAAGTACCTAATGAGATACTTGAGTTGGCCAGAAGCTGGTTTGAATTGTAGTGTTCATGTAAACCGTTGTTATAAAAAGAATTTAAAAGGGTCAATAATGTTCCTACTACTTTCTCCTAATTTTGCTGTTGATAAAATCAAATGGCATTCAGTAGTTTTATAGAATGTAAAGATATTTTTTAATTTAATTTGATGTACTGAATTTTCTTTTGTCATGACATTATTATTGTTGTATTTTTCATCAAAAAATCTAATTTAAAATGTACAAAGCAGTACATTAATTAATTGCTTAAAAATAACTTAGAATATGCCTTAGGGTTGTGATTGTGGGTATTGTAGAAGGGTTGATGAAGTTAAGGTTGTTGTTCTTAGATATGTAGGGGTAGAGGAACCGGACTTGATGAGACAAATGTGCAATGGCTAAGTGAGTTGTTTGATGTCGTTTTAAGGATGGGAAGATGCTTGAAGAATGGAGATGGAGCACAGTGATTCTATTGTACAAAAATAAAAGGTGCATTTAAAATTGCAATAACTATTGGGGTATCAAGTTGTTAAGTCACACTATGAAGATTTAAGAGAGAGTAGTAGAAATTTGGGCGTGGAGGGACGTGACTATTATTGAAAATTAGTTTGAATTCATGTCCCGCGCTAAACTATAGAGGCTATTCATTTTGTAAGAAAATAGGTGGACTAGTATTAGAATAATATAAGAACTTACATATGTGTTCATCGACTTAGTTAAGTCTTTATTACGACAAAGTCCCAAGGAAGGTTCTATGGAGTTACTTGGAGGATAGGGGTATATGGCGTATACTAGGGTGATCAAGAACATGTATGATGGAGTCAAAACTTGAACAAAAACTGTGTAAGGAGGCTCATAACACTTCCTAATTTTGATAAGATTTCACCAGACATCAACCCGTCGCCTTCTTTTTTTTTGTATTAATGATAGATACATTGACGAGACAAATTCAAAGTGAGGTGTCATGATGTATATTTGTTATTTTCAAATTACATAGTTCTAGTCGACAAAACTCGTGGTGATTAAACACTAAGCTGGCTGGAAGTTTATAGACAAACTTTGGAGTTTAAAGAGTTCAGGTTGAAAAGGCCCAAGACAAAGTTCTTGGAGCTCAAATTCAGTGATTATGTGGAAGTGAGGCTTGATACACATGTACTCCAAAAAAGAGAGAGTTTCAAGTATCTAATTGAAGTGAATGTGGATATTGATGAGGTTGTCACTCATCGTATTGGAGCAAGGTGGATGACATGGGGGTTCATTGATGAAGTCTTATGTGATAAGAAAGTAACACCAATGCTTAAAGGCAAGTTCTATAGAGTAGTCGTTAGGCCAATTTTTTATGGGGAATAGTGTTGACAATCAAGAACACTTACATGTAGAAGATGAAAGTTTCGGAAAATGATGTTGCGATGATTATGTTGGCATCCTAGGAGAGAGACAAATAAAAATAAGAAAATCTAGGTATGGTGGTAGCAATTTTAGTGGAGGACAAGATGCGGAAAGCGAGAGTGCGATGCTGAGATGGTTTGAGTATGTGAAGATGTCCTTGTGTGGAGGTGTGAGAGGTTGGTCACATATGATTCTAGAAGAGGTATAGGTAGACCAAATATATATTGTGGGAGGGGGAGGTGATTAGATTTGACATGACATAATTTCAGCTTACCGAAGACATGACCGTAGATAGGAGGGTGTGGAGAACACATATTAATGTAAAATAATTATAGGTGACAATGCGTTGTTCTGTTGTCTATTCATATAAAAAGTCTTGGTATTGCCCTGATGGTTTGCACAACATGTTCTATCAAAAATACTGGAGTTTTCTAGTCAGCAAGACTATCACTTTCTGTAAAATGGTCTTTGATCATTCCAACATGCATGTTCACAATGATACTACCCTCCTCTGCCTCATTCCTAATTGTCCTAATCCTACTACCCTCAAAAGTTACAGACCCATTGGATTGTGTAATACCATCTACAAGCTTATAACCAAGATTATTGTCAATCACATCAAGCCCATCCTGTTCACCATTATTGGACCTAGCCAGGCTAGTTTTCTCTCCAATAGAAGGGCATCATACAATGTCATCATTGTTTAGGAGTACATCACTCATTTTGGAAAGGTGAAAGGCTAAAAGTTCAGCATGATCCTCAAAATAGATTTGGTAAAAGCTTTTGAGAGACTTGAGTGGTCATGCATCAAAGAAACTCTCAAATTCTTAAACCTTTCCCCCAAGCTTACCACCTTCATCATGTCCTGCAGTAGTAGTTCCATAGTATTCCATGTCAATGGAAAGAGAACTAAATTCTTTAAGCCCTCTAGGGGAATCAGACAAGGAGACGTGTATGGAGAGGCTCTCTAAAGATATAGAAGCATCTATATTGGAAGGACACTGGACCCGTATAACCATCACACCATGGGCCCTAAGATATCCCACATTTTCTTTGCTGATGATCTCTGCCTTTTTGCAAAAGCTGACAACAAGAACTGCACCACTATAACTAGGACACTCAATGCAGCTATTGTGGCTACCCACTATTAGACACTAACCATATCTTCTTTGAGTGCCACCATTCCACCATTTTCTGGAAATCCATTCAAACACAGTGTGGAAATCAGAGGATCACAATATCTAGAAAGTTTAATGAGGACAACTGGATAGAGGAGTGGCACAACTTGAAAGGCAAAGTCTACAACCGTTGTATGGATTGGTACAGCCTCATCCCTTTTTACCTTTGGAACATATGGCTCACGAGAAATAACAACTCCTTCAGACAACAAAAGGCCCAGGCCAACATTTAAGAAATTCTTAATCATGTCTTAGAGCATATCTTGATCATAAACAAGCACACCATTGCCAAGACCCACATAATCATCGAACAAGTCAAGTGGGATCCCCCCAACCTGGGAACATACAAGCTTGACACAGATGCCTTTGTGAAGAACAACCAAGGTCCTGACGTGTCACATCCCGAAAACACACCCTAGAAGTTAGGGTCAATCTCGGATTGCAACCGGCGTACTTGACCTCTCGGAGGTCTTATACAAGCCCTTACATATCATTCATCACATACATAATGAAAAGTAGTGCAGAAATAAAATTTTTCACAAAACATTTCATAGTCTTAAAACTCTCTTTCATATAAAATCATAGGAAAATACTAAGTCTCAATATCATCAATTTAAGACACGAGAATACTTTGAGACACGGGCCATACACAATACTAATATAGAAATACTTAGTCTATTACAATATTTTGAACTAGAAGACATAAAAGACATCTATATATGCCCTCGAGTCAATTAAGGACATACTTCAACTTCACTTGAATGATGCTACGATCCAAGTCTTGCTTCCCAAATGCTACTCACTTACCAACAACTATAGAGATAGATAAAAGAATGGATTAGTACAACCATATGTACTAAGTATGGCATAACACATGAAAATTATGAAAACAGACATTTTATTAGAAATATGCATCTTTTCATTTAAAAATCATATTATAATCATAAGAAAAACATTTAACAACTAAGAAACACATAAGATAACATTTAAGTAATTTATGACATTTTTCGACAAACATTACAGGGACTTATATTCACTGTACAGTGAATCGCTTCATTGTCACAGGGAGGTGCTTTCTATTCCCTTTAACATTTTTCTAGCATGTAGTCTTCTCACTAAAAGATATCCTAAGACTCACTTAACCAACACAAAGAGAGACCACCCATACAACCTCCCTAAGCATAGCTAAATGACCCTCAAGACTACTTCAAATAAGAGACACACACACTTACAAGACATTCAACACATGAACATGAGATTTCCTCTACCAAGTGTGATTCTAAGTCTCACTTGAGTGAGTTGTGAAGAGACCGCCCGTAAAATCCCTTACATACACACTTAAGAGATTCTATACACTACCTATGATAGAATCATTCTCACTTAACATAACAACATATAGAAAGGCTATCAAAAGACTTATTTATGTAAATCACGAAGATAACGTCCATGATTTACCTCTTCAAGACTACCTCAATAATCCTCAAGACTACCTAAGTTCAGATCATGTCCACATATTCAACATCTTCCCTAACTAGAGTCATTCTTAAGACTCATCTAGGTAAAATACGAAGTGACCATTCCTATGCTCCTTTCACACCTTAACTAGACAACCCTTAACTACTCTTGGTAAGTACTTATTCATTTAACATATTTCTTAACTTAAGACATTACATTCATTAGTTCATTTAGGAGACATTCAACACATAAAGGACATTCAAATAAAGGTCTTGGGCAAGACATAGGAACTCCAACTAACACCTTCAAAGCCTATTGTGCAATGTTTAGATAGCATCCCATACCACCACCTAAACTTCATAGAACTTCTCTAATGCTAATAGGTATTCCGTATGATGAGAATAGGCAATATCTCACATAGACCATGATAGGAAGACATGGAATCTGAAGTTCTAACCTACTCTAATGAGGGTGTTCTACTTGCCAATGGTAGAACTTAGACACATCCCATGTAGGCACATGTCTAAGGAATATGAAGGGCATGCTTTGTAATCTACTCTCATTCTTTAAATATAGGTACTTCTCTTACCATACTCACTCGGTTCTAGCCTTTGTTCTCGTAGAGTAATTCACATTAAAGGTTCATATAAAGGTGTTCCATATAAAGTTCATAACGCAATCACATTTACCACATCAAAGAAAGGTTCACTAGGGATACCTCACAATGACGACAAGAAGCTCATCATGACTTTCATAAGGATTAATATTATGCCGTTCTAGCTAATTATCCTTAAGTCTATCATTCCTTTACTTGAAAGATACCATTACGACTTTCGACTTCAACATTCATAACCTTACCATTTGGTTCATGGTTTCACATAAAGGACCCTCTTAACTTAATGTAAGGTCT